CACGGTCCACAGCCTTCATTACATAAAGCAGCTGTGTGTATACTTGGGGTCTAAGTGCTATTTAGTGGTCAGCTCGATGAGGTATTTTGTTTCAAGCATCACGTTTCTTTTTTCCCTTTCCATACGTCTATTGAATCCTATGTAGAGGAATAGAACCTCACACAGCTTTGGCTAAAGCGAAAGGCAAAAGTCTCCTAAATGACAATCGTCCCACCGTCCTAATTAGATTGAGAGAGACAGCCCAGAATGCACCATCTGTGGTGTGAATGTGTCCCCCGGTGGTTGTGTGTGCATGCGTGTGTGTGCATGTGTGTACGTGTTCACCAGCCACACCCAGTCTGACCCATACAACCTGTACTACATCGCCATTGGTGTCTTAAAGGAAGCAAATGGTTTAATAACAAGAACTAGAATCCAAGCCTTCTAATTCTCTGCTGTGTGGCTTAAATATGTCATGTGTCCCCTCTGAGACTCAGTTTCCTCATCTTTAAAATGGGGGTAAAAATATCAGTCACACGGCGTTACTGAGATCCTTTAGATAAAGGATCTGGCACAGGATTGGTCAACAGTAAACCCCAGCTCCTTTCCCTCCCTCACTTGCCAGAATCCTGACCGTGCCATCCTAACCGCCCATTCCAGCCCCCTCTCAACATCACCCCTCTCCCCTAGCCAAAATGTTCTATTCCCTGTCACACTTCTTTCTCTTTGCTTTCATCAGTCTCCTCACGTAGGATGCAAGCAAGGCTCTTTCCATCCATACAAATCGAACATTTCCCTCCTGGCCCAATTTAAATCCCTCTCCTCCCAGAAGATATCCTTGACACTCCAACTCTCACTCACTTCTTCTGGATTTTTACAATACTCTGTTACTTGCCTGGCACTGAAATGCACTGCAACTAATCACCTGAATATCTTTTGTCTTGTTCAGAAATTGAAGTAGCCAGAGGTCAGGATTATATTCTTTCATGCTTAACACATTACAGTATACCCAGGAACCCAATAAGTATTGGTGAGTTAATGGAGTCAGTGTGAATCATTGTACTTATATGACTGATGGCTGCACACATCAAGCCGTAAACACATCTTGTCTGAAACCTGACATGCAGCCACTCTCAACCAGCACCTGCAATTTATGCAGAGCAAGCTAAGGTTACATCCTCTGAACATCAAGATGAAGGGCAAGGCCCTTCCTGGTGCCGTCTTATTTCTAACTCTTCCCAATAGTTCTCGAATTCTAAGCTCTCCCCATCATCATTTACATTTCCCCAAATATGCCAAACATTTAGATTCCATGCCTTTGCATATGCTGTTCACACTGTCTGAAATGACCTTCCTTTCCTCACCTTCCCTGCCCTGCTCATTCTCAGATATCAACTTAAATATCACCTTCTTGGAAAGCAAAGACCTTTGCTGATCTCTCTCCTAAGCTTGACTTTCTTCTCTCCTAAGATGCTCCACCCTATCCTCCCCTATTTGTTTCCCAAAGCACCATATTTGTTTGCATCTCTGTCTCTCTCACTGGGTTGCAAGCTCCCTGAGGACAAAACCTTGGACTGATTTCTCTGTGCTCTCCACTCCCCTACTGGGCTGCACCATAGTCAGGCTTTTTATTTTTTAATGAATGCCATCTTGTATAGCAACTCTAATCCTTTGTTGTGGTTCTATGATCCTTTGTCTCTTTTCCCACTCCTGCAAGGAAATGTCCTGCTCTGAATCATCTCAGTGTCTACTTTTTTTCTGGTTCTCTCCATCACTCTAGACTGTCTTAAGCACGACTGACCTCTGCATGGTCTTGAAATCTGCTTCTCTTCTTCTCTACTCCCCAAGACAATCATGTCTTTCGATCATCAAGGATTAACTTCTAACCAACTAAAGCTGGGGTGGAGAAGACAGAGCCTGGGGTGGACGGGAGTTGGGTACAACTGGGGATGGAGTTGGAGCCGGAAGTCAGGCCAGGCCAGGTCCATTTGAAAGCACCAGCGTGGTCAGTGGCCCAGGGGATGGCTAGCCAAAGGGCGGCCCTCAAGCCCAGAGCAAAGCTTCTCCTTTGAGTTGGCGGAGCAGGGGAGCTCCTCACCTCCCTCTCTGAGAGACACCCTTTGGCAAGAGAAACCCGGGGCTCCTGGATCTGCTCAAGAGCCAGACTTTGTTGATTTAGTTCCGCTACAAGGCTTCTGTTCTTGCTTGGGCCGTTAAGGCCTACAGATTCCTGGTACCCATCTGATTGAACAACTTAATTAAAATGCAATAAAAGAAAAGTGGGCCAGATGTGCCTGGGGAGAGGAGGCAGGCATCTGTGTCCACTGCCTGCCTTCTGAGCCCTATATCCTTCCCATCCTGCCTAAAGGCCACTGGGCAGGTGGTGGCCATGGAACTCTGAACTCTAGTGTGGGGTACAGAAGACACTTGAAAGTTATCTGCTCCATAAGCTTGTTCGTACTGATGATAGGGAAACTGAGGTCTAGTGGGGACAAAGTTGCTCAGTGAGATGTTAGCAGAAGCACGATAAATCTCTAGGACTATTCATCCAGGGCTTCTCTTGCTACACAATGTGGGAGAAAAAATTATTCGAAAATGCTAAGACCCTTGTTCTTAGAGAACACTCTCTCCTGAGGCCCTGAACTTTTTTGTAACTTGTTTGTTCTTTTTTGGCGGGGTAGCAGCTTTGTGGAAATATAGTTCATATGCCATACAATTCACCTTTTAAAGTATATAATTCAATGGTTTTAATATACTCACAGAGTTGTGCAACCAACATTACAATCAATTTTAGAATATTCCTTACTCCCCCTCAAACCGAGTAGCCTTTAGCTATGGTCCCTCAATCTCCCCATTCCTCTTAGCCTTAAGGAACCACCAGTCTACTCTCTGCCTCTACATAGTTGCCAATTTTGGACATTTCATATAAATGGATCCATATTATATATGCTCTTTTGTGACTGGCTTTTTAGATTTAGCATAATGTTTTCAAGATTGAGCCATATTTTATCAGTCCTTCTTTCCTTTTTAGGGCCAAATAATATTCCATCATATGAGTATATCACATTTTGTATATCCGTCAGTTGATGGACATTTGGGCTATTTCTCTCTTTTAGCTTTTTGAATAGTGCTATCGATATTTGTGCACACGTTTTTGCATGGACAGATGTTTTCAATTCTTTTGGGAATGTCCCTAGAAGTGGAGAAAGCTTTCATCTCATTAAGAATATCAGCAACAATACCAGCGGAAATACTAAAGCATTATCGCACACATGAACTCAGAGACTAATGAGGGCGGGAAGCTGGATGGCGAAAGAGAGACACAGATAGGTTAATTATTTTGGCTCTGGTCTCACAGGCATAGGGTAGGGCCATGGAAGAGGAAATCATAGCTGGCACTCATGACAAATGGACAACAAAGCTTTTATAATTTTATGCAAAAAGCCCTGGGACATTTAAAAAATCACTCACACAAATTCACATGTACCATCGCTTTCATTATATGGGTTGGTTTTTAACTTGATCAAGTCCTTTTTTTGTCTGCTATCTGCCTTGTGTCTTCCAGTTACCCATGGAGACCATCACACTGCCTCTCAGTAGAATTAAATTCTCCTCCCACTTCCCAACTGTTTCACCTCATCCTCACCAACCAGAGTGGTGGCACTGTAGGGAGTTTGGGAGCCTCCATGAGTGGAGGCTCTTTAAAGGACTTCTCTTTTGTCACAGCTGCAGTTCTCAGAGCTCTGCGTGTGGAAAACACGGAGCCACACTGTTCTCTCATACTGTCCTGGCTTTCTGGCTTGCTCTGCATCTGTCACCAGATGTGTGCATGGCTAAGAGACCAAAGTTGCTCTGGACATCTAGCAGGTTGAACTACATGACATCGTCAACATTTATTCATTTCTGACCTACAGAAATGGCAATTCCGTGTGTTTCAACCTGCTAGTCTCTAGTGTCTTCCTGTGTTTCTCCTAAAGGTGTGCCCTGGAAGCCATTTTGCCCTTCCAGCCCTGCTAGTCTTCCTCTCCCAACCTTTTGAGTGGCCATTCTCCAGCTGCTCAATCTCGTGCCCAAAGGCATGAGTGGAGTAGTGGGAGCACTGGGCTGGGAGCCAGGAGACCTTTCCATTCTCTGACTGTCTCCCCACTGGTCGGTCTTCCTCCATCTCCCCTTCCAATCCATGCCTCCTGAAAGCACAGATCTGCTCCAGCCACCCTCTACTTCAAATCTTTCAATGACTCCTGATAACCTAGTATGCATATAGTATGAACTCTGCAGTCTGGCCAGGAGACGCAGTCTCAGCTCCGATGGCTGGCTTTTTTGCTCCAGCCATGTCTAACTGCTTGTAGCCCGCTGAAGGCACCTCTTTGCCTTAACATCTGCTCTTCTTCCACCTGGAAAGATTTGTGCATCTTCTTCACTCAGCTACCTACGACATCTCTCAAGACCACGCCCAGGAGTCTTCCCTGAGTCTCCCGGCCATGTTAGGGACCCTTCTTCTCTGTTCCCATTTCCCTGTGCTTCCATCTCTCCCGGCACTCATCCTCGTGTTTTAATCATTTCTTTGTGTGTCTGCCCCTGTCTATCTCCCTCTCTAGCTTGTGAGCTCCTGATAATTCTATCTAATTCATTTTCTGTTTAACGGAACTAAGCAGTGGTGACTGTGACTCAATTTCCCCATTTGCTGGAAATGGTCCAGAAGCTTGAGCGTTACACCCCTTGGCCTTCTCCAAGCTTCATTTGCCTCTCAGGAGCAGAAGGGGGCTGGTTTCAAGGGCTCTTTCAATTCTTACAGTCTAGGGAACTGCGATATGAATCCTTACCCTCCCAGGCCCCCCACAGGGATCTCATGTGAGTCCAAGGAAACCGATGGGTCAGGACCGTTCAAATGGAAAGTTCCAAGAAATTCTGAGTAAGATTATTTTCTTCTTTTATTTTAATTCAGCAAATGTCTGAAGAACACCTACTAAGTGCATGCCAGTGTCAGTCAAAAAAGTGGCGGGATAGAAAGTTGTACATACCAGCTTCCCTGGATTCCTTTGAGTGCTGTCTTCCCAGCCAGTCTAGGGGTGCCTGCCCACTCCTGGCTCTCTCACTGCTCACTCCCGCCAGGACCTGTGCATCAGATGCTTTGGACAAGGGTGGCCCATGCCCCCAAATTTGTTACCGTCCGCCAAGTCCGCATCCACCTTAGAGCCCACCAAGTTTGGCCGAGAGAGGCCTCGGCCCGGGCGCCCTCTGGCGGCCGCACGCGGAAGCTACGGCCGGGCGGGGAGCAGGCAAGGGGAAGGGGGAGGGAGGAGGGAGGAGGAGGCGCGGGCAGGGGAGGAGAGGAAAAAGTTGCGCTGGGAAGTTTGGAAAGTTGGGAAGTGGCTGCTGCGGGCTTCGCCTCCCTCCGCGCGTGTGTGAGGGAGCAAGCGAGGGAGAAGAGAGGAG